CTCCTGTAATCTCAGCTACTTGGGTGGCTGAGGCAGGAGAATCGCTTGAACCCAGGAGTCGGAGGTTGCAGTGAGCCGAGATCATGCCATTGCACTCTAGCCTAGGTAACAAAGAAAGACTCTTGTCTCAAAAAAAAAAAAAAAAATTCAACTATATTAAAACACTTCAGAATGTTTCTCATAGCTATAGTGCTGTCAAAGCTTCAAATCATTTTTTAAAAATTCACCAAATGCCTTTTTTTTTTCCAGTCTACACAAAATAAAAACAAGTTTTACTTGTCCCTGTTTAGAGTGTAGCAGGTCAGGCAGCAGTGATCCCAGCAACTCTGACTTACTCAAGGCTCAAAATTAATTCCCTTCACTCCAAGGCCCAGGAGGAAAATGTCCCCTCCAGAATGGTTCTTACTCTTCCACTGGAGAAAACAGAAACTAAATTATAAAATAGTTGGGCCTGACTGTGAGGAAAAGAGAGGAAGGTGCATTTATCACCATGTAACCCTACAGGTGTTTTTGACCCTGTAAAATGTTGGCCACCAATGGGGGCTTATTTATGAGCTTGCAAAGACACGGGATTAAACTACCAGGAACTGTTTCCAAGACACGGTCAACCTGGATATTTTTTAAGACACCTGCCTACACCAGCACCACTCCCCCACACCCCCTACCATTTGGTGGTTTCCTCCCTTTAAGGACAATCCACGTACTGTTACCTCTCTGCAGGCTCCCAGAGACAAACACATTATACAAACATGCACACACTCCCCCCCTCATCACATAGATGATGACTGTGTTCCTCCTTTAACAATACTAGGGAAATAGATGACAGTCCACATGCAAAGCACACCTAGGAGGTGATCAAATAGTAGTCCCCTTCTCCCTTACCCAGAAGGCATTCCTTTTATTTTTAATTTATCTAGGCTCACATCCAATTATTCACAAGTTTAGTGTTTTTTCCTTCAGCTGCCCCAACACTTCTGGAGCTAACATTTTTTCCTCATATACCTTGAAATAGTCAACTCATAGAGACTCATACCTAGGAAGTCACTTTCAGCTCTTTTGTTTTTTTTTTTTCTTGTAGAGCAGGGGATCTCACTATGTTGCCCAGACTCCTGGGCAGCTCCTGGGCAACTCCTGACCTCAAGCAATCCCCCCACCTCCTGCCTCAGCCTCCACCTCCCAAACTGCTGAGACTGCTGGTGTCAGCCACTGAACCCAGCCCTTAAGTGTTATAATAATATGAAAATAGGCTCTTTAAAATAGGAGTCAGCCAATTTTTCTCTAACGTACTCTCAGACAGTGAATATTTTAGGCTCTGGAACTTCCTTAATTTATTTAATTTGTTTTACAACCCTTTAAAAATATAAAAAACATTCTTAGCTGTTAAGACAAAAATAGGCCTAGTCAAATAGGCCGCGAGTTTGCCAATCCCTGTTCTAAATGGTCAATTCACTTTTATCCACTTTTATTTGTAGTTATTTTTCCCTTTGAGAGTTCTATTTAAATGATATTATTTGCACAATTAATCAGAACCTTGACACTAGTTTCATATTTCTATCTCTCCATTTGCATATCTTGCTCTTAGAATTTTAGAAGCAGATATTTAAGAAAGCAGAAAAGGGAACTAATAAAAGTAATGAGTAAGAATTAAAAAATGAAAAAGCCAAAACACCTGAACAATCCAAAACCATGCTAGAAGGGACCAAGAGGGAGCTGAATAGAAGCATTATCTGAGCAATGTAAAATAGCCCAGAAATGAGTAACAAAATAAAAACTCATCTGAAATCAAACTTTAGGGTGGAAGTTTTAGAAAGACAAGGGGAAACAAAAGGTCAGGTCAAACCCACATATCTGTTAGTGTAAAAACCCAGAAGCCTCCTCCCAAATCCGTTCTCAATGTCATGTATGAGGGCCACCTGGAGAGGCCCCCTTGGGAGGAGGAAGTTATAGGTCACTAGATCTCCCGTCCTCTTCCCACTCTACATAACTCTATCTTCCACACTGCTCCCAGACTATCTTCTGAAAGAAATCATGACAGCACCCCTATTCCTCCATGCCCCACCCCCACTTAAGCCCCAATACTGTCCACACTTGGTAGAGCAAGCAAGGTCAAGGTTACATGACACCATACTCCAGCCTCTTCCTAGGTTAGTTTTTCAACCACTAGTGTCCCTCAGATCACCTAGGGCATTCATTAAAATGAAGATTCCAAGGCTCCACCCTTCTCTCTGAAATGGATCCCCAGGGAAACTACACTTTACAAGTACCCCAGATGACCACATACCAGGCTGCCAGAGGTCCACACTTTGAGAAAGAAACCTTCAAAGGGGTTGCTCACCTCCTCCTCTCACAGCAGAGGCACCTGCCCCACCTCCTTCACCCCCCAGTCTCCTCTTCACCTTCTCAACCTCCCTCTTAAACCAGAAGATTCAACAGATTTTTTATTTAACAGCCCAGCTTCCAGACCACCCTGCCTGTGCCCAGCACTGTCCTCCCCCAGCCAGACCGAGCTCCACATGCTGGTTTCTTTATCTGGAATACCCATTGCTGCTGGTTGAGACCCTTCCCACCTTCCAAGATGGTTCAAACACCACCTTCCACGAACCCTTCCCTAGGCACAATTCCTTTCTTTTTCCTCCAAACTCTGCTGCATTTTATTTATCTATTATCACCTGTAAAATTGTGCCATATTACTGAGGGTAGGGGAAAGTGTTGTTCACAGATATGCCCTCCAGAGTGCCCAAAATAACACCTTCAAAAGGTTTTAAATTGAGTTTGTTCATGAAAAACCTCCTGTGATGCTATCAGACCGATATTATTCTAAACTGTGCTCCACAAAGATAAGTTTTAGGAACTGCAATATGTTAAACAATATCTAGCAGGACTTGCACTGGCAGAAGGATCAGTCTTTGTTTTGTCTTACTTGGCCTTGGCAGGCAGTGTTTGTGAAAAAGTTGAATCCGAATTCAACAGAACTAGGGGAGGATCCAGTTGACAAAGGCACCACCACATAGGGTATTCACTCAACAATCTTATCTGTCCCACCACTGGGGAAGGCTTTTGAGATTGTCACTTCTACTCAGCTGCTAAAGCAGAAACTACATAAACACTGAGTGATGAGACAAACTCACAGTGAGCACATGGAGGCTCTGAGAAACCAAAGCAGGCCAAAATAAACACGTGGAAATAAACACCCAGAGGAAAGATGGAGGAAAAACAGCACTAGGATCAACTGAGAAATGAAAATATCATCAGCAGAGAGTAAGAAGTGATAAACTTGCCAGAGGTAAGACCTCTACTGAAAATGCTGGAAGAAAAGGAAATTTCCTAAAAAGTAATCATCATCACAGAAAAATCAACAGCCTTTTATGTAATGTTTTCTGAAGAGGTATTAACCTTAGAATCTGAACATGGCTTTTATCAAAAGAAAGTCCTGCGGGGGAAAATCCATTAAATAATGCCAAGGTTGTTATATAAATAAAATAAGGGTTCCTTCTCAAAGGCTTATTTATATCTCAGACTTAAAAAATATCAAAGACTACATTATAATCTTAACATATGGCAAAAACACTCTCTATATCACTTTAAGTTGTTTACCTGCAACTCAAATGCAAAATCAGATTTGAAATTAAGCAAGAGATGTGGGTGAGTTCTTTCTCTTCTCCCTTCTTTGGGTCTGTAAAGTTCAGTTTTACACAGCAGTAGACAAACAGGAACTTCACCCTTCACTGCCTTCTACTGAACTCTCCATCAGAAGGACCAGGAGACTTAATCCACAGCCCACAGAGTCCATAAATCCCACCGCTTCCTGATGAAGCACAGTGGGACTAATTATAACAAATGAGTTGCATATCATCCTGTCAACTTGGAATATTAATCTCTCAGTCATTTACAGCCTACTTTCAACCCCAAATGGGAACTTGGAAGGAGACAAAATCCAAGAAGCCATATTAAATCCAAGTGAGACTTTAAATCCTGGAGAAACTTTTCTGATCACTGTGGGATTTACGTAAGTATTCAAGGCCAAGGTGAAAGCAAAATTCTGTAGCCAAAATATCATTGATCTGCTCAGTCTGAAATTATCTATTCTAATGAAGGAAACCAGCATGTGTGCCTTATCAATGCTGCTTATCTCGCGGGGGCAGACAACCTGGAAACTGCGTTAGAATAGATCCTCAAATAAGAAACATTCAGTTAACATGATGGGCTGCCTCTTGACACTGCGAATGTTTTGCTGTGTTCATACATCAAAGGAAAACTGTCATGAATCATCAGGTAAAGGCAGCAGAAAAGGAAGCACAGTTTGCCTGGTGTTTGTTTCATTAAACAGCTCCCAAAGGGGACAATCGAATACTAACCGGCAAAAAAGTTGTAGGAGACGCCTCTCTCCAACTGGAATGTCCAAAGACATCCAAGTGCTGAAAATTCCCCCATACTCAACGTCTGAATTCTCCCCTCTGCCCTCTCCTTTTCGTCGGAAGAAAACCCGCTAACAACAATCCCATGCTTGACCAAGTGGGAAAAGCTTTCAACTTCCCTCTACTTTGTCCAACCCTAGGGATAACGCACTCCCAGATCCCGACCTCCCCTTGAACCTGCCCTCTGAGATCTTAGTCTAGTTTCTCCCGAGGGTCCCCAGCCCCTTCCTCCCCACTGCCCTTTAACCCCTTCCCCTGCCCTGGGCCCCGTCCGCACCCCAACGCAGACCCTCGCCCGCCGCCTCCCCGACTCCCTTCCCGGAGCCCCCAACGCTGCCCTGCCCCTCGGGGCCTCCTCCTCGCAACTCCACATGATGTTCCTCCCGCCCGCGGTTCCCCCCCGCTGCCCCCCAGCGCCTCACCACTCTACCTAGGCAGCGCTCCCGCAGGCAAGGCCGCGCCCCCCAGGCGCTTGCCCTCCGGGGTCCCTGGCGCAGGGGCCCCTTGGCCCACCACGCCCCCCGCGGATAAAGGGTGACGCAGCGGACCCCGTCCCTGCCCCGCGGGCCCGGTCGCCTCGCTCACCCACACGAAGAGGCTATCTGAGAGCAGGTACTGGGCCACGTCGCGGGCCCGTGGTCCCCCCGCGCTCGGCCGGGCGGGCGCCGGCGGCTCGGGTTGCAGCGAGGCCGTTAGCTGGTCCGGCTCGCCCGGGCCGACCTCAGGCTGGCTGAGCGCGCGGTAGGCGCTGATTATGGTGCCCAGCAGGGCCAGGCCGCTGAGGCCCGTGTAGGTGCGGAGGCTGGGCCAGGGGAAGCGCTCGAGGAAGAGCAGCGGCATGGCGGCAGCGGCGACCTCCGGTCTCCGGGCCTCCCCGCGCTGCGGCCGGGCCCCTGCCGCGGTCTCGCGAACGGCGCCCACGGGCTCTGGCGTCGCTGTCGCTGCCGCTGCCGCTGCCGCCGCCGCCGCCGCCGCCGCCGCTGCCGCCACGCCGGGCCGGGCCGGGCCGCTCCTGGCTGCTGGCGCCGCTCCGCCCCGCGCTGCTCCCGCTGCTGCCCCTGCCGGCGCGGAAGAGCCTCGGCGGGCTCCGGGCAGGCCACCGCCCCCAGCGGGACGCGGGCGGGACGGGCGCAGGGGCGCGGCCTTCGTCCCCCGCCCCCAGCGGTCGCGCCGCCGCCTAGCGGGCGTAGGCCCAGGCCTCAGGCCCCGGGGGCCGGCACCCAGCATCATCCGCTGCCCGCACCACGGCTCGGCTGGGCCCACGGACACAGAGGGCACCTGCTCCGGCCGCGGCGCGGGCGTCACTCGGGCCCGCAGGCGCTGACGGGCGGGCCGGGCCTCAGGGCGCGGGGGACCCTGGCCACCAGGCCGCTGCCCACTTAACCCCCACCATTAACCCTCTGAAGCTAGTTACCCCCAAGCACTCCTAGGGGCCGAGCAGCTTCCCTGGTGCCCAAAACCCCAGAAGAAAAAATATTAACAGTCTTTCAAGTTTCTGCTGTTTACTAGTAGCCTCCAGCAGAAACTAAAAAATGAACCTGATTTAGCGGGAAATAAAAATGTGTTCCCTCATACACCAGAAGTGAGAATGTCAAATGGTGCGGCTGTCTTGGAAAATAATCTGCCCTTTCCTTAAAGTCAAACAAGAGTGACCATTTGACCCAGTAATTCCAGTCCTCTAAGAAAAGTGGAAACATACCTCCACACAAAACTTGTACACAAATGTTGATACCATTCTAACAACCAAAAGATGGAAACAACGCTAATGTCCATCAAGTGATGAGTAGATAAATGTGATATATCCATACAATGTACTATTCGGTCATAAAAATGAACTACTGATACATGCTACAATAGGGATGAACCTTAAACACGTGCTAAGTCAAAGAAGACAGCCACAAAGGTCCACGTGTTGTGTGATTCCATTGATATGAAATGTCCACAATAGGCAAGTACATATACAGACCCAGAAAGTTGATTAATGGTTGCTTAGGGATGGGAGGAAGAGGGAAGGTAGGGGGTGATAAAGGGCACAGGTTTCTTTTAAGAGACAGGGTCTGTGGCCCAGGCTGGAGTACGTACAGTGGCAGGAGCATGGCTCACTGCATCCTCCACCTTCTGGGCTCAAGAAATCTTCCTGCTTCAGTCTCTCCAGTAGATGGGATTATAGGCATATGCCACCACACGTGGCTAATCCTTAATTTTTGGTAGAGACAGCGTCTTGCTATATTGTCCAGACCTGTCTGTGGCTCCTGAGCCCAAGTGATCCTCCCACCGCGGCTTCGGAAAGTGCAGGGATTACAGGCGTGAGTCACTGGCTGGGACAGGTTTGTTTTCAAAGTGATGAAAATGTAAAATTGAGGTGATGATTGCACAACTCTGAAAAATCATTGAATTGTACACTTTAAATAGTTCTATCTCAATATGTGAATTGTATCTCAATAAGCTGTTACCAAAGGGAAAAAAATGTTACCTTGGGAGTTTTATTCCTTTTGCATCCCCAAGGCCTGTAATACTTCCCAGCCCAGAGTAGGTGCTCTGTAAATATTTGTAGGATTTTCCAAACTTTCTAAAGAAAAGGACCAAATTATCTTTCAAAGTCTTTCTTCATGCCTAATATTCTAAAAGTCTATTAACTATAAAACAAAAGATCTCTCAGGCTTACCATTCCACTTTGGAAATTTTAGAAACATCTTGTTAAAGGGTCTTTGATGAACGTTTAGTTTTACCGGGACAAGGAGAGGTCTTACCTTTGTACACGTGCATTTTTTTAAAACAAGGTCTATATGAATACTAGACTTGAGTTCACTTTGGTTTTTTTCCCACAGCCATGCAATTAAAATGCTACACTTTAAACTTTATCAGTAAAACAAAGGAAAACTTTATTTTGAAAAAATATTGTAATTTTCAGGGAAGTGTTCTACTTTACAGGTCAAGATCTGGGCCATCATAACTTTTAAAACACTAACTGGTAATCTTTATTCAATCCTAGCCACAGTAGTTCTAAACTATCACAAACCAAATTTGTCCTGTCACCCTTACAAACAGGCTGCTCTTAATAGATCTGCCCTTATTAAACTTTTAGAAGCTTGGACTTTCTGAAACTTCACATGAACAGGGGAAGTTAACCCAACTATAAAAGCTTATTTTTTGTTTGCATTTTTAAAGAATGTAAACGGTTTGTGTTTGGATCTTTTACTAGAATTAGTAATTTTTCTACCATTACTTTTTCCTTTCCCACTCCAAGAAGGTACTTTGCACACCCTTGTCTCAAGGAAGGACATTTTGGCAATAACCAAACAAGTCTTCTTAAGTCTTAACCAATACTTCTAGTTCTTGGTAATTGCATCTTACTCCATGAGAGGACCAGGGGAGGAGGCAGGACCCAAAAGGGATGAATGCTTAATGTGCCTGGGGAGACTGAATCAACATACAGGCTACCTGTCAGCTGTGTCCCAAGCCCCAAGTGTGGCGGACTGATGACAGCATCAGACTTTGAGAGGCTGGTCCTGCTTGGACAAGAATCAGTAGAGTCCATGATGAAAGCTCGAGCTTCCTCGTCACCACCACCTTCATTTCAGAATACCACTATGCCTTCTAGATTTGAGACTTCAAATAGCTCCTTCATTTCCATTATGACTGATAGACTGAATTTCCTGCCATCTTTGTGGGATGGTGGTTCTGACTTGGTTTGATTTAAAGGGAATAAAATAATTATTTCAGGCAAATCAGTTTGTGTGGACTAAGATTCATACCTAGATACAATGCTATTTTCATTTTTAAAATATCTCAAGTCCTTTCATATTCATGACCTCATTCACCATCATGTGAGACTGGTTGAGTGGCTTTGTTGTTGCTTAAGATTCTCAAAATCCTAGAAGCTGAACTTCACTATCTAATCCAGTAGCTTTAAATGTATTCCCATGGCATGCTAGTGTTTCATCAGCTGGACCAATATGTTCCACAGCTAAATCTAGCAGAGAGAAAAATAACCAACTCTTCAAGTTTTTAGAGGAAAAACTAAATTAATGGATACATTGCTATTTGTAGCTTTTCTTTCATATTTATTTTTCTTTTTTTTTTTTTTTTTTGAGATGGAGTCTCGCTCTGTCGCCCGGGCTGGAGTGCAGTGGCCGGATCTCAGCTCACTGCAAGCTCCGCCTCCCGGGTTTACGCCATTCTCCTGCCTCAGCCTCCCGAATAGCTGGGACTACAGGCGCCCGCCACCTCGCCCGGCTAGTTTTTTGTATTTTTTTTTAGTAGAGACGGGGTTTCACCGTGTTAGCCAGGATGGTCTCGATCTCCTGACCTCGTGATCCACCCGCCTCGGCCTCCCAGAGTGCTGGGATTACAGGCTTGAGCCACCGCGCCCGGCCTCATATTTATTTTTCATAGACCTCTGGTGCCTGCTATAAAATACACAAGTAGTAAAGTTTTCAGAAAAACCTTTCAATTACTTTCTATCAGGTTTCATTCAAACTTCTGTTCAGATATAAAGGCTGAAAAGGCTATAGTTTTATCAGACACACATATATTCCCATATTTTGGGTAAACTTTCTATTTAACATGACATTGAATTACACAGTATTACATATGCAGCAGGCATAGTGTGTGTCATAGAACATTAAGAATTCCAGGCAAGTTTGAGAAAATAACTAAAGGAGTCAACCCTCTCTTTGCAGATGACGAAACGGCCTCAGTCCCCAATGATATGGACTACACACAGTTAACAACGCAACTTCTAACTTCTGGCCTTCATGTTCCAAATCTAGTGACCCTTTCACACCGCAGGAAACTAAGTCTGCTAAAAACACTACTAACACATAATGGGATGGGTGGGAGTGTGTGGGGCACAAGGCGAGGGCAACATCAATGACCCGGCCATCAGGCCCTTGCTATTATGCTAAGCTGTCTCTTACCTAAAGGACCTCGGCCGCTCACAATGAAGAACCATGCAAGATTTCTACTAGCACAGTAGGGTCAGCAGCCACACATACAGGACTATCCCAAAACAATCACAGAGTCATTCTCTTCCAAATATTTTTTATTGAAATGACAATAAAATAAAAAAAGAACAGTGATCACTTTAACCAAACTTTTACTTTACAAATATAAAAATATAACCAAAACTTGTTTCTTTTATACATTTCCCATAAACGTAATACCAGAAAAGTTCTCAAAGCCAAACTATAAATGATGCTTGTATACTATGATATAAACACAATAACCAAAAGTTTAAATTTCTAAATACATGACCTTTCCATCAACAGAACAGCATAATCAATATATCTTCCCAATTTATCTCTATTTTTACGATATGATCCATTACTAAAATACAAAATACACCTAAACTGGCCCAATCTAGACTTACCTAGGTTTTAGTAAGTTTTTCCCCACAAAAACAAGCTTAATAAATATAATACAAGCTAATATTAAAATGTGTTTTATGGCTCAAATCAAATTACAGTATTAAGTTTCTCATCACGATTTGAACAACAAAAGCAAACTGCTTGAAATGAGTCCAGTTTAACCCAAATAGTCAATGATGTATAACAAGTGGGGTAAGTATGGGAAAATCAAATCTTATGCTACAGAAAGTTGACTTATACTACAGTCAACAACCACTAAGCCTTCTTTGGCAATGAAACTTACAAAACTGCAAACTCTGAAGCAGTCTCAGTGATTGGCACATACTGTTCCAAACACTATGAACTACAGTAAAAACATTAAGTTTGAGGATGGAAAAGCTACCCCAAGCATTTCATCTCAAGTGACTGAACAAGTACTGTAAAAATAAAGTCATTAAAAAGCCGAGAGCATAAGAGCACAACATTTAAGGAAGGGAATTTTAAGCCGATTGCTTGCTGGCCTGTTGAATTTGAAGTACTTCTACCTCTCACTTCTAATTAAACATGGACGAAAACAGACTGGCTAATTTGGTTACACTTCGTCCAAATACAATGTTAACTTAATGGAACCCTTAAATATCCAAAATAATAAGTGAATGCTAGTTATAAGACAATAAAAAGTTTAAAATTCTTCCAAATGTGCTGTTAACAGTACAAATTCAAGTGCAGAATTATTATGCCATTTTAAGTATTATATACTTTTTTAAAAAATCACAATGGTCTTCCATCACATGGCGAAAAAACAAATTTCACTCTTCTCCAAAGGGGTAAGTCCATCCTAAAGGTAACTACAAACAATTGTGTAAAACTTTATAGTTTTTTCCCCCAATCTATTCAACATATTCCAGTGTCATTTAGTAGTTTTATATAGAATCTGCACTATACTTGGATTACTCAGGGAAAATAAGATGACATATATTGTAGTTTTAGAACGCAAATGAGAGCTTTCATTTTAGACAAATGTACAACATAGGAGCCACTAAAAAATATGGGTCTATTAATCAAGAGCCCATTTCAAAATGATTCAGCATTTAGTATGTAGATCTGGAATGCACAGTTTCTGGAAGTATTAGAACTTACGTATCAAAAGAACTTAGTGTTAAACAGTGCACTTATACCCTCTTCTAATACTGTAGACATCTACCAACCAGATTTGATTTCCCCTAGTTCTATTATTTCCATCAGAAAACCAAAAACAAATTATTGGGATCCACCTGTAACTGACCAGAGCAAAAAGTTTTTAAGACTTCCGTTTATGTGTTACGAATTTTACATTCAAAACCAGATCTCTTACATTCCAAGGTTAGTAACCCAGCCATCCTGAATCAAAGGCTTTTCTCAACTAGGCCTTAGTGTATGGATGACTGGCTCATGTACTTACTGTATATTGGGAAGAAGTGAAAAAGTGGGAAGTGAAGAATTTGTCAAAGTTACAAAGAACATGAGTGGCCTCAAATCAGATGACTCTTCAACTCAAACACTCCTTACTGAGAGCACTTTATAAAACACACAACAAAAAGTCTACCTCTCTCTATCCTCCCCAAACTGCAAAAGTGAACATCTGAAATGTGGCCACTGTAGCTTTTCCCTCAGAAGCAATCATGGAAGGTGAGCTGAATCAATCCATCTTCATATCCACTTCCTCCAATCTAAAGGTCTTGCTCCCTGATCTAAAGGAATAGCTGAAGGATGCAGCTAATGGATGAGCTTACCAGCAAAATACATGAGAAATATGCTAATGTAGGCTAGAGGGGTAGGACTGTTAGGGGCAGGAGGGAAAAGGACAATTCACAGAACTAGTGGCTTTTTCAAAGGAAATCAGGGGGCATTTTTGGTCATGGGGACTGGTACTCACCTACCACTAAGGACACGCACAGTTACTCACTACTTAACTACCATGTGAGGGTTTGGCATGACCCCAACTAAAAACACTTGAGTGTTTATTAATATAATTGCTCAGCTACACTTGGCCTGATTTTCTCAAGTATCATATACCTTTGTCATCACCCAATATTCAGGAAAATAGCCCTGTGACTGGTACCATACTAATCAAAAGTTCATTCCTATTAAAAACCCTTTTTTCCTTAAGTAGCTACATCTGGCAAGATTCCTTTTTACATTAAGCCTACAGTCAAGTCTATAATAAGGCATACACACTACACTTTGATCATTAAATAACGACACAACCAGCAAACTCCTTTGCTCTAATATTTTTTATTCCCTCAAATTTGATCTGAATTTATCAGTACTTTTTAAAGTTTTTAAAATTTTGTATTTTTCTCTTAACCTGACAAAATCTGTCCTCTGCCTTACCCCCAGTTTTTGGTTGATTCACATTATTCCAAAAATATTTTCGAAGGCTCCGTCATTTGCTAAAACCAAATTTTCTTCTCTATGTATATAACTTCAAGTTAATTGAATATTTGTGCAATCTCAGAGTTCAAAACCTAATACGTCCAATTTTAGAAATTTCCTTCACAGATCACTATTTTTACCATGGCTTTAAGAATAAGACACATAATTTTGCAACAGCACAAATAATTAATATCCCCATTATGTGAAGAAAACTGAGCTCTAAATGAGTCTCTTCTTATACCAATTCCTATGATTGCTGATCAAGCCAATTTTAATAGTTTCCTGTACGTTTAAGGTCTGTTGCTTGCAAACCAAGGCCTGGATGGTTATAAAATGTACTGGCCAGTGAATTATATTGGGAGTTCTCTGCAACACAATTCATTTAGGAGTTGCACCTTGGACTCAATCAGACAAACACAGTTTTCAAAAGTAATGGAAGCTCTTCATCATAAAAATATAATACAGTCTTGGAGTATGTGCCCAAGAATGGTATCAAAGCAAGGGTTCAATAAACTTGACTGACCTAAACCTGTCATTGTGTTGTAACATTCACCATCCTAAGGTGGAGGGAAAAATGATCCTTACCTACAAGAATTTTAGAAGTTTAATGAGAAATTAAAATAAAAAAAGAAGTCAATTTTCTTTAATGTTGTACAAAAAGTATGAGTAGAACCAAAAGTAAATAAACATTATCACATTTGTTTACACCACTATCTAGTTCTTCATATTAATTTTACTATTCAAACAAAAGAAAGTAGGTGGCAATTTAGGGATCGCAAAAGAGATAAAACCAAAAAAACTTTTCTACCACATTTATTCTACACTGTATATAGCTGTGCTCACAGAGACAAGCGGCTTCTTTTACTTCTCCACTGCGCAGGAATTCAGTTGTATATAAAATTGAACCTGAATTTTAAAAAGAACAATACCTTTATTAAAGACAGTACATACTACTTTCCACGTAAGATAAAGAAATTTATCTGGATGTTTCTACCCTCTCTTAACATGTCTGGCATTTTCTTTTTTTCCCCTTCAAATGCCTTTTTACCATCTTTGGCATTTTCTACACCAATTTTCTCCCACTGGTCACATCTTATGCATTAAAAACACTGTTGCTGAATACTTATAATAAAAAAATTAAGACTATAAATTTGATTAATTATCCACTATTAAGTTCCTTAATGCTGGAAAAGTTTCTACATGTCCTTATACTCTGACTACTCAGCACAGATACTGCACTTGGCAAGTAGCTGTTTGAATAAATAATATGACTCTTTTTCCCCCATATGCATTTCAACTTGTAATCTAGCAGGAGGCCCAAGTGGAGTGACAAAAGATAAAGTTTGATTAGTGACGAAGTAGAAAGAGCAATTTCATACTCAATAAGCTTTCACAAAAGGCCAATTTCACTAACATTTATTAAGTATGTACCAGATTACTGGCACTGTTGTAAGCATTTTATATGCATTATTTCACTTGGTCCTCACAATCCTCTGAAGTAGAGACTACTATCCCCATTTACAGATGAAGAAACAGTCAAATAGGTAAAATAGTTTGTTCCAAGGTCACATTGCCAGCAAGTATTGAGACTGTGATTCAAATCCAAACACTGACTGCAGAATCTACATTCATAACCACCATATTATTCTGCAATTCCTATCGATGGCTGGCTCTAATAGAGACCTCAACCAGTACAAGTCAGTTTTTAAAAAACTGCATTTCGGTCGGGCACGGTGGCTCACGCCTGTAGTCCCAGCACTTTGGGAGGCTGAGACGGGCAGATCACGAGGTCAGGAGATCAAGATCATCCTGGCTAACAAGGTGAAACCCCGTCTCTACTAAAATACAAAAACAAAATTAGCCTGGCGTGGTGGCGGCGCCTGTAGTCTCAGTTACTCAGGAGGCTGAGGCAGGAGAATAGCGTGAACCCAGGAGGCGGAGCTTGCAGTGAGCTGAGATCATGCCACTGCACTCCAGCCTCGGCAACAGAGTGAGACTCTGTCTCAAAAAATAAAAAAATAAAAAAAATAAAAAACTGCATTTCTTATCACTCTAACTGCCTAAAGATTCAAACCCCATGTAAAAGTTCAGGACCTAATCCCACAAGCCTCAATGTGGGCCAAAATATAGTAAGTTTCAAAAAAGGAAAGAGAATATATTACACCAAGATATTCAATTTGCCACCTTTTTTTTTTTTTAGATGGAGTCTCGCTCTGTCACTCAGGCTGGAGTGTAGTAGCGCGATCTCGGTTCACTGCAACCTCTGCCTCCTGGGTTCAAGCAATTCTCTGCCTCAGCCTGAGTAGCTGGGATTACAGGCGCCGGCCACCACACCTGGCTAATTTTTGTATTTTTAGTAGAGATGAGGTTTCACCATCTTGGCCAAGCTGGTCTTGAGCTCCCAACCTGGTGACACACCCACCTCAGCCTCCCAAAGTGCTGGGATTACAGGCATGAGCCACTGCATCCAGCCAATTTGCCACATTTTTATACAGACAACTCCACTCATGTTTACACACTGTTGACTATTTAACCATCTCTTCTTTGAATAAAGACATCAACCTTAACTCTTAAGAATATCAGAATTAGGGAAGAGCATTTGCACAAATACCAGAATGTCATGCCGAAACTTAATAGTCTGGGAATGGTATTAGTCACAATTCATCTATGGCTTGCACATGACCTAGGAGACTACTAGAATAGTTTCCTTAAAGACCAAAATTCATGAACCATACCTTCTCAAGTGGCTCAGAATATTTTAAATTTTACAGTTAATATGGATGAACCAAAAAATGTTCAACTTTCTGTACCTGCTCAACAGCTGAGGGAGACTAGAAATGATGGGTCCATATCCTGGTGCATTGTCATACAATTCAAACAATGGTGCAGCTACCAGCTTGTAATTTTTAGGGACTGCAAACAAGGCTAAAATAAAACAGAATTCATTATTATAAGTTCTTATATAATCACTGCTTCCATTTCATTTTTAAATTAATTACCAATTTTACATTTAACAAAAAGTTTAAGAAAAAAGATAATCTCATTAACACATTTTGGTTATGTCTTTTAAGGTACATTTCCTAGTCACAGATTTTAAACTAAAAGCATGGTGTGTATTTTTAGTTTTACAATAAACCCCAAATTCAAGGAACTTTGCGAAAAACACAAATAGAGGTATCCTTGAAATTACTGTACAGAAGTTTTTAGATGGTTACCTTCGAAAACAAACTAACTTACCTTTTTCTTGAAGCTGAACCAGAAACAACTTCTTATGTTCCTTAGGCTTTGTAATATGTGCAGGAATATATGGATACTGAAATTACAAATGAATACAACTTTAACATGTATTCCATGGCTTCATTTCTTTACATGCTTACTCCCCAGTATAGTATAAACTGTTGGGAGAAGCATACTACTTTCTGTTCTCTTTACCAGGACTTATCTAACAGATACACTAGTAAATAAATGCTTTAATGCATATAAAATAACAAGCAGTAAACCAGTCAACCATTCAAGATAAAATATGTAGTCACAGGATTTATAGCTTCAGATACTTACAACATAATGAAGTCTGATTTAATTAGTATCTTTAATAAAAGGCTTTTGTTTGTTTGTTTTTTGGGTTTTTTTTTGTTTTTTTTTTTGAGACAGTTTCGCTCTCGTTGCCCAGGCTGGAGTGCAATGGCGCAATCTCGGCTCACTGTAACCTCCGCCTGCCGGGTTCAAGTGATTCTCCTGCCTCAGCCTCCTGAGTAGCTGAGATTACATGCATGCGCCACCATGCCCAGCTAATTTTGTATTATTAGTAGAGGCAGGGTTTCTCCAGGCTGGTCTTGAACTCCCAACCTCAGGTGATCCGCCTGCCTCGGCCTCCCCAAGTGCTGGGATTACAGGTGTGAGCCATCATGCCTGGCCTAAAAGCTGTTTTGTTTTGTTTTGTTTTTAAATATATATATAGGCTGGGCACTGTGGTTCACGTCTATAATCCTAGCACTTTGAGAGGCCGAGGCAGGCAGATCATGAGGTCAGGAGATCGAGACCATCCTGGCTAACACGGTGAAACCCCGTCTCTACTAAAAATACAAAAAATTAGCCAGGCATGGTGGCGGGTACCTGTAGTCGCAGCTACTCGTGAGGTTAAGGCAGGAGAATGGCATGAACCCAGAAGGCAGAGCTTGCAGTGAGCTGAGACTGTGCCACTGCACTCCAGCCTGGGCAACAGAGCGAGACTCTGTCTCAAAAAAAAAAAAATAACCATCATCATATATACATATATATGTGTGTATCAGTACGTTAAACAGTCTAGAATCCTGATGTAGACCTGTTTACTACATTAAAAATTCAAATATAGCCTGTGAGGCATTTGACAAGATGCTTCTTGCTCCTCCTCCCAGCCCCAACCTCAAACCTCCCCGTATCCCAGGGTGCATGTTTCAGGAATACCAGAAGAGCAGTCTAAATGAAGTTTTGCCAGATGGGCAAAGCCAAAGCCATTTTACTCGATGAAATTTAGAGAATTTAAAGGGATGAAGAGAATCAGAGAGGGAAGTTGCTACCCGGGAAGGAAAAATTCTGACACAGAGAACAAAAAAAAAAAAGTCTAAGGGTTATACAATTCTTGTATAAATCCACAATACACTGAGAAATCTACTTTTGCTGTTGGAGTTGTATTTGAGCGGGGGAATTTAAAATTGCTGCAAACAGATAAAAGGGGAAAGTGAGATAAAAGCAGAAGCTGCCAAAAGGAGGTATTAGCATCATCCTCAATTTACATAGAAACGCATGCTAAGAGAGGCTAAGTATCTTTCCCAAGATTACTCAGCCAAGTTGTGAAGCCAAGATTTAACTGTATCTATTCAACTCTTATCTAATTATAAAAGCCTATGTTATTTTCCACTATGTTACTCATTGGCACCTAACCAGTATTCCAGTTAGAATAATTATATACTAGAGCCATCCCTAGGGTACAATGAATTGAGGCAATTGTCCCAGGCTTTGGAGGTTCCTTAAACTGTCATGAAAACCAGATACAATAACAGTCGCAGAGAAGTGAGAAGTGGCTTGAACAGCACAAGCTAAGAGATCTGTGGATCGCATACAACAAAAGTTCCCAAACCATGACCAAACAAAATGAGTAGCATTTCCCCAAATTTCCTCTGCTGTCAAGGCTACGTGTTCCTATTTTTTTAAGCCTTTCTTCTCTGGTCTTAATGTTTAAGTCGACTGTAGTTTATACAAAAAGACTGAGATAGGGAGATGATAGGCTCCTTTTCCACTGACACCTAACTAACACTCTAGGCTTCCTAAATAAATCAATACACTTACCTTATATTGAATACCACCAGGGCAAACTCTAGGCTTTAGTGAATGAAGGGAACTGTCCTAGGACAGTGGTAGGGGAGATGAGTGAGGATATTCAGAAAAGTTATCTGGAAAATGACTGGGGTCACTACTAAGGATTTTTCAATTAGATCAAGGGATGTTCAGAAAGCCGAAAAAAGTTTAGAATAATTGTACTATGTATCTTTGAACAAGTAACTTCACTGTTTCCATATGAAATTGTTCTTCCTTAAAGCCAAGATGTGTTCCTGGCAATTCTTAGTGAACACCAGCATCAGCTTCCACAGCTCCTATCTTCCTGTCCCTCTGCCATACGAGGGAGTCAGAAGCAAAAGAAAAGAACAGTCTTTTGCTTGGTTGATATTTTGTGCAGCGCTTGACCTGAAACATCTTGTCATGTAAAGGAGCTATAAAGTCATAGGGCTTTTTAATTTGCCTAAAGAATTCAGGATTCAACTTTAAGAAGTTCCACCATTAGCAAAAATAGGAATATTTGAGCATCAGTAACATTATCACTCATTATCGTGGATTAAAATATTTCAAATTATTTAAATCCAAAAGGTCATACTGACACTTTGAAGGTCAATGAAACATGTTTGTGTGTGTGTGTGTGTGCCCCCATTACACTACCTCCGATTTCAGGGCAGCTGTGTTTGAAAGGTATCAGAGAGTTCCCTGTTTGCTGCCACTGTCTCAACAAGCAATCAGACTCAACATGGAAGTGCAAGGGAGTTCATTATCCCATGGGGGATAGGAGTCCCTAGCCATCTATCTTTCTGACAATTACGAGGTACATTCCACATGGTTCCCAGTCCTTAACAGAACAAACCCAGTTGCCCACAGGTGTAAAAAGATCAGTAACATGCCCTGTCTTACTTCTGCTGCTTCTGGTCTCACTCTCCCTGTATTCTGCTGCTTCCTGGAATCACCTCTCAAATTGCCTGTACCCAAGTCTTGGTCTTATCCTCTCTTTTGAATAAAGTCAAGTCTTTAGATGATGGTAAGGAATTAAATCATTCTTCTGAAAAATGTTAAGTAAAGGAAAAGCAGCATATATTTTTTTTTCTACACAAACCACATACTTCAGTAGTACATAAGTTTCTTTTTACATGAGGATCACAACCCTTATGAATTCATAGACCAGGAAATGATCATCAATGAGCTGCTAACATTATAAAAAGAGACAACCAAATATTTTTAAATTCCTGATGGAAGTACACTATACCACTTGCGGTAGACTGCCTTAAGATGACCCCCAATGACTCCTGTTTCCTGGTATTCACTGCTTTGTGTAGTCCCTCCTACAGTGTACCAGGGTTGGCTTGTGTGACCAACAACATACTGCAGAAGTGATGGTATGCCACTGCCAAGATTAGGTTATCACAGACTAAGGGTTCCTACTTGGGCACTCCTCTAGCACTCTGTCTCTCACTATCTCTTGGAACACACAGCCTGGGGGAAGCCAGCTGCCTGAGAGTTGTCCTTTTAGAGATGTTCTCATGGCAAGGAACTGAGGGAGACCTTGAGACAACAGCCAGCAACACCTGAAGCAAAGCTTTAGTCTAACAGCCCAGATGAAACCGAGAAGTCTGCTAACACACAAGTGTAAGCTTGAGATCAGATACTTTAACCCCAGTTCTGCCTTATGATGCAGTCCCAACTGACAACTTGACTGTAACTTCATGAGAGAGCCTAAGCCAGAACCACCCTAAGCAACTCCCAGAGGCCGAAAGGCTGCTAAATTTTGAGGTAATTTGTTATGCGGCAATAGATAATATACCACCTATGACAAGCCTTATTACCCCTCCCCAAATTAACTGAGCCTGAATACAATTTCTCAATCTAACTATCAATTTGCATGACACACAGGGGAAATAACTACATATTCAACAACAACAGGGGAATGCAATCAGAATGGAAACATTCGCCTATTTTCATTAACAAATAAAATACAAGGGAAAAAAAGGTGCCAACTGTGTAAAAGAGACTTTAGAGACTATCCTAATCCAAACAAATTATAAAAAGAAAATTGAAATAATCAGGATATGTGAACAGTGACTATATATTTGACAATAATATGGAATTGTTTTAGTATGATAATGACAGAACTACGGTTGTTTTTAAAGAGATCCTTATCTTTTATGATTCACAATGAAATATTTACAATTGAAATGAATAGCTAGGATACGCTTCAAAATAATCCAAGATAAGGGCAGGAGAATGGTGCGGTGGAACAAGGGGCTGTGATGTGCTAACTGTTAAAGGCAGATAACGGGTAGCGCAAGTCATTCACTTTTACCATTCTCTCTTCTTTTGTATTTGTTCTATTTATTTATTTATTTTGAGAAGGAGTCTCGCTCTGTTGTCCAGGCTGGAGTGCAGTGACACAATCTCGGTTCACTGCAACTTCTGCCTCCCAGGTTCAAGCAATTCTCCTGCCTCAGCCTCCTGAGTAGCTGGGATTACAGGTTTGTACCACCAAACCCGGCTCATTTTTGTATTTTTTTAGTAGAGATGGGGTTTCGCCATGTTGGCCAGGCTGGTCTCAAACTCCTGACCTCAACAGGTGATCCACCCACCTTGGCCTCCCAAAGTGCTGGGATTACAGGCATAAGCCACCTTGCCCAGCCTTGTATTTGTTTTACATTTTCCTTTAAAATAAGAAGTGCTTGGCTTAATTTTGTAATTTAAATTAAGGAGGGAAGAAAAGAAAATTTCAAGTCAAATTCTACTTTAATCTTTTTTAAAGTGGCTAGAATTAAACGAGCTTTCTGCTTCCAAAATGCCTAGCAAATATAACTGAACACTAACCTGAGGAGGTTCAAAATTTGGTCTCCACCAGTTACCAATGCAGTCGTCAATGACCCAGTCTTGCAAAACTCCATCCTGACGACCCAGTATCTGTCAAAAAGAAATAAGACAGCCAGTGAACAACTAAATATATGTACTCACGAATCCCCTTCTTCAGTGAAAAGAAAATTCTTAGCAGTGCTCCTAATAGAGACAAAGGGATAATATGCCTTCCATATAGATTTCATCTCTATAATCTGTTATTATAGATGTCACTCTGCCCAAGACATATAATATTAGTTCAAAATTGGCAAGCTAGTATTAACATAAAAACTGTGTTAAAAATTCAACTTTCATTTTTATTAATTTGTATAGCAGAACATTAAACTTATTTTAATCAAAGTCATACTCTACATATTTTAAGTGGCCAAAAACAGTTCCACAATGTTCATGGTGAGAAACTGCAGTTCTCTGTCCTGCTTCACCCATTCCCACTGGCTATAACTTTCAACTCTTGGTTGTTTTTCCCCTATTTGCTTCTATTTTTAAAGCGTTCTTCTTGGTCTTAAATAAACGGTTTATTTTAGGGTAGTTTTAGATTTACAGAAAACTTGCAAAACTTTAGCAGAGACTTCCCATATACCCCACACCCAGTTTCCCCTATTGTTAACATCTCACATTAGTAAGGCACATTTGTCAAACTAATCAACCAATACCAAGACAAGGTTATTAATTGAAGTCCATATATTATTCAGATATCCGTAATCTTTAACCTAATGTCCTTTTTCATTTTTCAGTCCCAGGATCCCATCTAAGATACCATATTACACTTAATCTTCATTTCTTCCAAGGTTCCTCTATATTGTGACAGCTTTTCATATTTTCCTTGTTTTTGATGATCTTGATAGTTTTGAGGAACACTGGTCAAGTATTTTGTAAAACATCCCTCAATTAACTGAGGTTATGAGCTTTTGGGAAGAAAAATAGAGGTAAAAGGGCCATTCTCATCACCATCATATCAAGGGTACACGCTGCATCAATGTGGCTTATCACTAATGCCAACCTCGATCACCTGGCTGAGGTACTGTTTATCAGGTTTCTTCAATGTAAAGTCATATTTTTCAAAACTTTTTTTTTTTTTTTTTTGAGACGGAGTTTTGCTCGTTGCCCAGGCTGGAGTGCAATGGCACAATCCCGGCTCACTGCAACCTCCGCTGCCCAGGTTCAAGTGATTCTCCTAACTCAGCCTCGTGAGTAGCTGGGATTACAGGCACACACTACCATGCCCAGCTAATTTTTTGTCTTTTTAGTAGAGACGGGGTTTCACCCTGTTGTTCAGGCTGGTCTCAAACACCTGACCTCAGATGATCCGCCCGCCTCAGTCTCCCAGAGTGCTGGGCTTACAGGCATGAGCCACTGTGCCGGGCCTCAAAACCACATTTTTCTAAGAGATAGGGTCTTGCTCTGTCACTCAGGCTGGAGCGCAGTGACGCAATCATGGCTCACTATAACTCCTGGCCTCAAGCAATCTTCTGGCCTCAGCCCCACAAAGCACTGGGATTACAGGTGTGAGCCACCATGCCCAGCCAAAATATTCTTTTATGATGGTTTCTTGATTTTTCATTTTCATTTTATTTTTCTGAGACAGAGTCTCGCTCTGTTACCCAGGCTGGAGTACAGTGGTGCAATCTCGGCTCACTGCAACCTCCGCCTCCCGGGTCCAAGGGACTCTCCTGCCTCAGCCTCCCGAGTAGCTGGGACCACAGGTACCTGCCACCACACCCAGCTTTTTTGTATTTTTAGTAGAAATGGGGTTTCACCATGTTGGCCAGGATGGTCTCGATCTCTTGACCTCGTGATCCACCCACCTCGACCTCCCAAAGTGCTGGGATTACAGGCGTGAGCCACCGCGCCCAGATTTTCATTTTAAAAACTTTTTTAAAAGCCTATAACCCTCTATTATGAATGAGAATTTAGATATTAAAATCACATGACCTAGTTATACTTTTTCTTCCAGCATCTTCCCATTATCAATATTTGGTTAAGTCAACATTCAGTATTTAAGTTAGTATGATCAGGTAGATCAGTCACAACAGAGTAACCATATCTCCTCACTTGTTCAATCTTCCTGTTCTTTAGTTAGTAACTTTCATTTCCTTTGCTATCACTAAATTCGTTTCCCACATTCTCCACGAGAATTTAAATTTCTTCTCAATTCAAATATCAATTGTCAGTTATTCTATTAATTTCATCTTTTCTAAGACATGTTTTTGTTTTTTTCAAGACAAGATCTCACTCTGTCACCCACGCTGGAGTGCAGTGGTGTGATCTCCACTCACTGCAACCTCCACCTCATGGGCTCAAGTGCTTCCCTCACCTCAGCCTCCCCTGTCCCCCAGCCTCCCGAGTAGCTGGGACTACAGGTGCAAGCCACCGCACGAGGCTAATTTTTCGCCATGTTGCCAAGGCTGGTCTCAAACTCCTAGGCTCAAGTGATCTGCCCATCTTGGCCTCCCTAAGTGCTGAAATTGCAGGCATGAGCCACCATACCCAGCCTAAGATACGTTTTTCTATCATCCTGCTGTAATCTGTACTTGATAGTCTCAACCCTGCTTCCCAGCTGGAGTCCTAGGGTTTCTCTTGGTCTCTCTCCTATGTTGTTAGATCTTAATATTTCTAATTCTCTATCTTCTTATTTTATTCCAGTTTGGGGGTGAACACCCTCTAGTAGCTTCCTGAGAAAAGGTACAAGAGATGAAATTTTTTGAAACTCTGCATGTACAGAAATAACTTTTACCCACACATTTGATTTATAGTTTGATTAGAAAATTCTTGGACAGAGATCATAGTCTCTCAAAATCACAAAGACAACACTCCACCATCCTTTAGCTTCCAGAATTATTTCTGGGTAGTTTAATGCAATTTCTGATTTTGATGTTTTGCATTTAACCTCTCTACTTACCAATCCTCCACCTCCCACTTTGGAAGCTTTTAGGATCTTTTTATTTGTTTGTAGGATCTAAAATTTCATGATGACATGCCTTTGCATGGATCTTTAAACATTCACTATAGAAGCAAGGCCAGTAGGCCTTTTCAATCTAAAAACTCATGCTCTTTGAGGTTTGAGAAATTTTCTCCAATTATGCTTTACTAATTCTTCCTTTACTCTGTTCTATTTATCTGTAGTTTATATTGGTCCTTCTAGAATGACCCACTAATTTTATCTTTTCTTACCTACATTCTATCATCTTTTCATTCTATTTTCTGGTAGAATGAAACTCTTAACTTTTTACTGAATTTTTTATCTCTTCCAACATTTTTTTAAATATCCATGAGGTTTTTGTTGGCTAAAATGCCTTTTTAACAGCACTGTTTCACAGATGCAAAATCTCCTCTTATTTAACCAAGAATATTAATCACAGTTTTGTCAATGGTTGAATTTACTGCTTCTGTTAAGGTCCTTTTGCTTCTTTTGATCTCTTTCTTGTTAAGAAGTTTTCTCCAAAAGCCTGGTGATATTTGGTTGTGTACTCACAAGGTAGAAGCAACAAGAGGCTTAATTGTCACCTCTGTGTGCATGAGTGATAGGACTACGATTTTTTTTTCTTTTTTTTTTTTGTAGACGAAGTCTTGCTCTGTTGCCCAGGCTGCTGTGCAGTGGCGTGATCTCGGTTCACTGCAACCTCCACCTCCTGGGTTCAACTGATTCTTCTGCCTCAGCCTCCTGAGTAGCTGGGATTACAGGCGCCCGCCACCACACCCGGCTAATTTTTTTTTTTATTTCAGTAGAGACGGGGTTTCACCATGTTGGTCAGGCTGTCTCTAACTCCTGACCTCGTGATCCACCCGCCTCGGCCTCCCAAAGTGCTGGGATTACAAATGTAAGCCACTGTGCCCGGTCCAGGACTACATTATTTCTATAGAAAATTCTTGCTTTGTTTTGGATATGGGTTGTCTCCCTGCCCCCAAACTCATGCTGAAATCTGATCCCCAATGTGACAGTGTTGGCAGGCAGGGCCTAGTGGAAGGTGTTTAAGTCATGGAGGTGGATCCTTCATTAATAGTTTTAATACCCTTCTGCCATCAGGAATGGATTAGTTCCCTGGAGACTGGGTTGTTCAAGAGCGTGGCTTCCCGGATTCACTCTTGCTTCCTCCCTTGCCATGTCATCATCTCTTTGCACATGCCCACTCCCATTTTGCTTTCTACCATGAGTGGAAGCAGCATGAAGCCCTCGCCAGCTACCCAATCTTGCCACCACAACTGGTGAGCCAAATAAATCTTTTTCTTTATAAATTACCCAGCCTCAGGTATTCTGTTATAGCAATATTAAACAGACTAAGACAGCTCCAAAATGGCAGTATCTGAAGTTTTTCTTGGACTGGTCACTTTTTCCAGAAACAAGATTTCCAACCCTCAGCCTGGGATATATAAATCTAATTGTTGGCTGGGCCTGGTGGCTCATGCACGTAATCCCAATGCTTTGGGAGGCTGAGATGGGAGGACTTCTTCAGGCCAGGAGTTTGCGACCAGCCTGGGCAACATAGCAAGATCTCTATAAAAAAATTTTTTTTAATTAGCCAGGCATCGTGGCACACACCTGCAGTCCTAGCTACTCAGGACGCTGAGGCAGGAAGATTGCTTGAGCCCAGGAGTTTGTGGTTACAGTGAGCTATGATCACACCACCATCCTCTAGCCTGAGGAACAGAGTGAGACCCTGTCTCTAAAAAAAATAAATAAGCTTAGACCGCGCACGGTGACTCACATCTATAATCCCAGCACTTTGGGAGGCCAAAGCAGGCAGATCACCTGAGGTCAGGAGTTTGAGACCAGCCTGGCCAACATGGTGAAACCCCATCTCTACTAAAAATACAAAAATTAGCTGGGCATGGCAGTGGGCACCTGTAATCCCAGCTACTCTGGAGGCTGAGGCAGGAGAATCGCTTGAACCCAGGAGGCAGAGGTTGCTGTGAGCAACCATTGCTCACACTGGATATCACACCACTGCACCCCAGCCTGGGCAACAAGAGCAAAACTCTGACTCAAAAAAAATTTTTTTAAAATAAGCCCAATTGTTAACATCCTGTCAGCCTAATAGAAGTCCAAGAGTCTGACTATTCAGAATGGGAACTCTTGCTTATTCTTCCCCATCCCCTAAACTTTTTTCATTGCTACCTGTTCTCTGATTCAATTACTACAGAGAATCAATCATCAGCCAGTCTTTGCCTAATTACAGAGTGGGGAAGACAATCTAGATACACAGATTGAACATCCCAATCTGAAACTCCAAAATCTCAAACTTTTTGAGCACTGAAATGATGTTCAAAGGAAATGCTCAGGCCGGGTACGGTGGCGCACGCCTGTAATCCCAGCACTTTGGAAGGCCAAGGAAGGCGGATCACCTGAGGTCAGGAGTTCCAGACCAGCCTGGCCAACATGGTGAAACCCCGTCTCCACTAAAACTACAAAAATTAACCAGGCATGGTGGCAGGTGCCTGTAATTCCATCTACTGGGGAGGGTGAGGCAGGAGAATCGCTTAAACCCGGGAGGTGGATGTTACAGTGAGCCGAGATTACACCATTGCACTCTAGCCTGGGTGACAAGAGAGAGACGTCGTCTCAAGAAAAAAAAAAAAAAAAGGAAATGTTCATTGCAGCATTTCAAGTTTTGTATATGGGATGCTTAACTGGTAAGCATAATGCAAATATTCCAAAACCTGAAAAAAAATCCCAAATCCTAATCACTTTTTTTTAAATTTTTTTGCATATATAGTAGATGTATATATGTATGGGGTACACAAGATGTTTTGATACAGGCATGCAATGCATAATATTCACATCATGGAGAACAGGGTATCCACCCCCTCAAGCATTTATCCTTTGTGTTACAAACAATCCAATTATACTCTTTTAGTTATTTTAAAATTTACAATTAAGTGATTACTGACTATAATCACCCTATTGTGCTATCAAATAGTAGCTAAACACTTCTGGTCCCAAGCTCTCAGACAGGGAATACTCAACCTGTATAAATATACTTCATATATACTTTGAACCAGTCCAGTTTTCAGCCCATGCATGCCCCCACTTTCATAAGTACCTAGCACCTTCAGTTCCTCAGTCATTCTGGTACTCTGCAGTGTTGGATTCTGCCTGCCTGTCTGTTGGACTAAGGTTTCTGCCAAGTTAGTTATAATTTGCCCATCTGTTTTCCAGTTTCCAAAAATTTTGCTTTTGTGAGTCTCTCATTTTGCACTCCCTCAATCCTACTGCACTTACATCTTTGTACCAGACATTACATAAATGGAAGTCCAAGCACAGTAAATGTTTAAGAGTTATAATACATTTTTAGAAATACTAGAAAGACAAACCAATAGGTCAAAAGTAGGAGAATTACAGGTGACTTTAGTTTTGTTTCTCCTTTGCTTTTCTGTGTTTGCCAAGCTTTTTGCACAGAGAATGTATGAGTTTTGTAAAGGGGGCAGGCGGCAACTGCATGTTAAAGAAGAAAACAAACATTGAAAACAACTTACAGTCTCAAAATCCTCAGTATCTATGCATTTGGCCCCAAGTCTTTACATGCAGGCATTACAATGATTTTTTAAAAGTAGAATAATTTGGGCAAAGTCTAAAAAATATGTGAAAAAAGTGAAAACACAGGCGTCTTTCTCTTTTCAAAATTCCATAGAGGCCTACTCTTGAACAAAACTACCTGCATTCAAACCTCTAGCTCTACAACACACTAGCTATATAACAAGAAGTAATTTAAACTTAATAATATCTGCTTCCTAGAGTTGTGGTGGTGATTAAAGGAATTAGCACATGTAAAGCACTTAGAACAGTGTCTAGCACAGTAATACTTAAATGTCAGTTTTTATCATTGCTGTGACACAGTTTAACATTTTAAAAATTGAAGTAAGTGTAAGTTCAACTTGTAAAAAAAATCAACATTGTACTAACATTCTGGGGTTTAAGTTGTATTTATTGAAAACTCAATATTCCAAAATAAACATCCTTTTTACAAGACATTAAAAGCCAAATTAACTATTAAGTTGATGGTATGCAAAGTTAGGTTAAACAGAAAAATACCTCTGTCATTAAGCGTTTTAGTCCTTCAACTTCATCTTCTCCTGGGTTAAGTTCACCACCAGGTCTGTATAAAAGTTAAGAATTTCAGCTTTCAACTTAATGCAATTTGGAGATAACAAAGAACACAATAAATGTTATGTCTATCAAGTCACTAAGTAACATATTTCAGTGTAATAAGGCAATCAAAACAAGTATCAAAGTGAAGGGGGAGAATATGCTTGAATTCATGTCAATTCCCCAGACTAACAGTATACAAACCCTAGGTTTTTTTCCTCTTTGTATATATTTATTTTTATTTTATTGTCGATTCAAGGGGTACATGTACAAGTTTATTACATAGGTATATTGTGTAATGCTAAGGTTTAGGCTTCTAGTGAACCAATCACCAAAACAGTGAACATAACATCTAACAGGAAGTATTTCAACTCTCGCCTCTCCCTCCCGCTCCCCACCTTTGGAGTATACAGTGTTCATTTTTTCCAACTTTATGTCCATATGTACCCATCACATAAACCCTAGTTTTAAACCAACAGAATACATAACATAGCACAAACATAAACAAAATTGCTAACCACCAGTCCATCCCAATCTCGTCTCTGGAAGCTATCTGATGATAATGGAGTCTAGAAATGCCCAGAGAGGAATGGATCATATTCTTTAGGCCTAAACAATGGGACACTTTTTCAAGAGCGCCATCTAAGTATTGGAGACCTTTCTTTTTGGTATAATCTAGTCAAATAGTTGTGGATCAAATGTTTGAGAGATGCAGGAGCTTAAATGACAAAAAAATAAACTGTTATCCACAAAAACCTAAGTCATCTTAAGAATAGGAAATGCAAATCATACCAAGAAAGAAATACCAATTGTTCTTGGTGATGCTACAATGACATCTAGACATTGATCTTGAACTCAACTATTCCACAGGGTTTCTACCAAGCTCAATCACTAACATCGACAACATATAGAAACACGCAGATTACTAGTTAGGAAAATAAACGAGCACCGCAATGGAGAAAAATTACTCGTGATTTTCTCTTTTTAAAGACATCATTAACAGCAGTGTTTGTTGAAATAAATGACCGAGGGCTAAAATTGTAGTCCACAGCTGCATAAACAGCAATCCTACTAAAAACTGTCTTGCTGTTAATTTCCAACACTACTTACAGTTTGAAGAAAGTTGTTCCCAGCTGTAGCAGTAACACATGGGGTAGCCGGTGCTCATGTACAATCAGAACCCCTTCTACAGTCCTCCTCATTCCAATTTTATCAAATTCTTCCCTCATGCGCTGAAATCTGGCTGCCACAGAGCTGTCCTTCTCATAGAGGGGCTCTTTTGTACCAAAAGTATAATTGGTAAGAGGGTACCTGTGATCCAAAGACAAACATCTAACATGAGAACTGAAGAATATAATTTACCATGACAGACATTAGCATAAAGAAACCACAGTACAAAAAAAAAGTGCATATGTTGTACTCAGAGACACAGGATTTGTACAGTTACATAACTAAAGTTAATGAGACAGTAGAGATTGGAATCTTGTTCTCTGGACTCTTAAAGCCAGAGCTTCCGGCCGGGCGCGGTGGCTCAAGCCTGTAATCCCAGCACTTTGGGAGGCCGAGACGGGCGGATCACGAGGTCAGGAGATCGAGACCATCCTGGCTAACACGGTGAAACCCCGTCTCTACTAAAAAAAAAAAATACAAAAAACTAGCCGGGCGAAGTGGCGGGCGCCTGTAGTCCCAGCTACTTGGGAGGCTGAGACAGGAGAATGGCGTGAACCCGGGAGGCGGAGCTTGCAGTGAGCTGAGATCCCGCCACTGCACTCCAGCCTGGGCGGTGGCTCAAGCCTGTAATCCCAGCACTTTGGGAGGCCGAGGCGGGCGGATCACAAGGTCAGGAGATCGAGACCACAGTGAAACCCCGTCTCTACTAAAAATACAAAAAATTAGCCGGGCGCGGTGGCGGGCGCCTGTAGTCCTAGCTACTCAGGAGGCTGAGGCAGGAGAATGGCGTGAACCCAGGAGGCGGAGCTTGCAGTGAGCCGAGATCGCGCCACTGCACTCCAGCCTGGGCAACAGCGTGAGACTCCGTCTCAAAAAAAAAAAAAAAAAAAAGCCAGAGCTTCCATGAGATCAAGCTACTCCTCCATACTTTAACTTTCAAGTGTAGATAACACTATCCTTAAATGCTTAGAGAAATGGTTATCTGAACATTAGTAATCCTCTGGTTTTAGACCATGGCTGCTATTCCAACAAGACCAATTTGGCTAATAATTAATGTCCCCCTGCATTCCTCTGACTACTAATCTAATCAGAAAGTTTTAATTATGGGTGCTAATGGCTAATCTCTTTTTTCTAAAACTAAGCCACCACTTTTCATCAACATCCCTCCAGTTATTTTCTATTTCTCTCAGTCAACTATCCTCAGATTTTTCTTGCACCACAGCCTTTCCTTTTCACAGCAACTCTTCTACTTTCTCTTTCTGTCCTCTAACCCTATTTACTAGCCTTGGGCATTTATTCTATTCAGTCTCCTTATTGTTTCCTTCTCCTCATCTGAATCTTCTACCCACCCCTTTACCAAGAATTTAAAATATGGCTCAAACTGTTAAAGACAGTTTTCATCTTGCCTAATAAGGATCAAATTTTTCTTTAAAGATACTTAAAAATTCCATACTTATATGTCGTACGCCCTTAATTAAAGCCTTACAGCAAGAAGCCTTTGAGTAAGAATTTACGCCACATTTGCCCACCTATAGTATCTATTCTACCAAAAGCCCTTGACATTAATAGTCAACATTATTGCATCTACTACACTCAGCCATTCTTGAAAGGGGAAAAAAATCAAGGTTGCCAAAACTTTAAAAATTACTTTAAGGCCGGGCGCAGTGGCTCAAGCCTGTAATCCCAGCACTTTGGGAGGCCAAGACGGGCGGATCACGAGTTCAGGAGATCGAGACCATCCTGGCTAACACGGTGAAACCCCGTCTCTACTAAAATACAAAAAAAAAAAATTAGCCGGGCGAGGTGGCGGGCGCCTGTACTCCCAGCTACTCGGGAGGCTGAGGCAGGAGAATGGCGTGAACCCGGGAGGCGGGGCTTGCAGTGAGCTGAGATCCGGCCACTGCACTCCAGCCTGGGCAACAGAGCTAGACTCCGTCTCAAAAAAAAAAAAAAAAAAAAAAAAATTAATTTCAGAAGCCAAGTTCTAGGCATATGAAAAAGCTATAAAATAATTAAAATATACCATTTCAAGGATGCTTTAAAGATTTAAAGAACATCCCCAGTAGACCCAAGGCTAAATCTAACACCATCATCCATAGCAGCGGCAGATATGCTACACAGCACGATGTGCCAGGCAATTTTTTCAAACGCTTTACATATATTAACATTTAATTCTCACAACCTGAGTTAGAAAGAATTAAGGATAGCCATTACACATCTCTGTTGCAAGAGCCAGCTCCAATATATCAGTAATGTCAAGATGAAATGTCAGAATTTTCACCTGTGAAATCAGAGTGCCAGCCCAGACATACATATTGTTCTCATCATACTGTGAGCTTCATAAAGCAGGGGCTACACCTTACTTCCTCACCACTGTATATCCAGTATTGTGCACAGTGCCTGGCACAAAGTAGGCATTCATGCAATATTTCCTGAAAGAAAATATACTGGGGAGAGCGCATTTGTTTTCAACTTAATATTAACTCAGGTGAACTTAAGTTCACAACACAATGATTATTTCTGAATATTTATATTTATATAGGAGAAGAAATGTACTGTAAATCAACCCATAATTTTAATAGAGCGAAGATTAAAATCTTGCTGAAAGCTAACTATTTTGCCAAGTTAATTCTACATAATGGCTTGGTGCAAATTAATTCAGTAATCAAGACAAAACAAGAAAAGACTGTGGGTTTTAGCTCTAATCACCACTGAAAGTAACCCAGAAGCTGTGCTTTCATACTTTTAAAAAGGATAACATTTGCCTTTACCATTTGATGGATTTTTTTCTTAATTTTTAAAAACATTTTTGTAGAGACAGCCTATGTTGCCCAGACTTGTCTACAACTCCCGGCCTCAAGTGATCCTCCCACCTCGGCCTCCCAAGGTGCTGGGATTACAGTCTTGAGCCGCCACTCCTGAGGACTTTTATACACACAACTATCGACTAATTCCAGATTTTATAAACCCAGCATTTCCATCATCTAAATTTCCAAGCCAACACATTTTACAAAATAAAACAATGTTAACCATCTTTTCAACTTCAAATCACTTTGGTTGGCGGACGGAGAGAGAACGTCCATTTATTTTAATATAAAACAAGAGAAACACCTAAACTGCCCTACGAAAACATCAATACCACCAAATCCTTGCACTTGTACACAGACTGGCATAAACTGGCCACTTTCCTCCATCAGGAAAATAGAGGCACCACGTTGCCTCGAAAACAAATCCTCAGACACGATTTTAAAAAGCATTACTGACAATTTCTTCAGACATCTCAAACGTCAATTACCTGCTACAGCGAGTCTGCTGCTGAGAGTGACCTTGAAATGCAATGGTTTCAAGTGTTGAAACGGAAAGGTGTTGAAAATAAAACACAGCCCACAATGGGTTTTCTGGTACAAACATTCTGGTTCCCTCCAGTCTGAAAGCCCAACCATAGCAGCATCCTTACTCCCAAGGAGGGGCCTACTTGGGGTGCCTGGGATGCTGGCGTTGAGACATCATCAGACGACGCGAAGGCATAAGGCATGAGGCAGGGCAGACAGCCCTGAGCACATGAATAACATGTGTTGTATTCATAAACCGAAATATTTAAGTAGCAATTAAAAGGAAAAAAACTAGACCTAGGCATTACAGCTGGATCTCGAAAGCTTACTGTCAGAGTGAAATGTGCAAAAATGATACTAGGTTATACCATTCGTACCACATCAACAATCACAAAGCAATACCATATACGTGATGCCAAAGCATAAACATTTCACGGGAAGGATAAAACACACACACACACACACACACACACACACACACATTTTGAAGTTGGTTACCTCTGGAGAGGTGGGGAAAGGATGAGTTAAAAGCAAACTCCGTTTTTCCCCATTATGACCGAATACATAGGATGGGAACAAGCCTTCCTTTACAGAAAAGGACTCTTAACTCCCGGAGGTAGGAGGATGAGAAAGGGGCCTGAGGGAGCGAGGAAGGCGCGCATCCGCCAGCGGGAGTTGGAGGCTGGGAGGTGCGGAGGCGTGAAGCAGGCCGAAAAGCCGGGGACGCGCGGGAGAATCTGTAGGAGCGCTCACGAGAGAAATGCCCGCCAAGGCCGCCCCGCACTTACAGATTGATGGTGCGCTCCAGGGTGAGGGGCTTGGTCTGCTGGATGTACTTGTTGCCGAACTGAGTGACCCCCCGGGGCCAGCCGGTCTGCGAGCGATTGGGCGGTACCACAGACATGCTGGCGAGCTCCGGCGCTGGCGGCGAGCAGAAAGTGGGAGGCAGGGGAGACTTTCCCGGTGCGGGAAGCGGTTATCTGCAACCCCCTCAGCAGCTACCGCCCGCCATTAACAGGAGAGCGCAAGAGGAGGCGTAGGCACGCCGGAAGTGAACCCGGAGCCTCTGGCGGCAGGAAGTAGAGAGGAGGTGGCCTGCCAGACCGAGCGCCATTGGGCCAATAGCTGGTGGGATGGCTGCAATAGCTGGAGCTCCCATTGGTAAACCGGGTATAGGTTCCGCCTCCTCTTGCTTTGGTGATTCCCATTGGAAACACAGTAAAGGAGGCATGCCGGGAATTGTAGTCCCCTCAGGAAAGTAGCGTCTTGATCAGTGTGGCGTGGTTCTGTACCTTGGGAGGAGATGAATGGGAAGCGGCCAGCGGAGCCTGGCCCAGCCCGGGTGGGAAAAAAGGGAAAGAAGGAGGTGATGGCGGAGTTTTCGGACGCTGTTATGGAAGAAACCTTGAAAAAGCAGGTGGCTGAGGCCTGGAGCCGCAGGACGCCGTTCAGTCACGGTAACCGGGTGCTCTCAGGGAGGGGCCGCCACGCAGGGATCTGGGGACCTCTGAAAAAGCCCTGGGACTCGCGCGCAGCCCTGGGTAGCGGGGCCGCCAGGGAAGACGCTCTTGGAGGACTTTGACCACCTTGTATCCTCCTGCCTCGGCTGCTGCTCCCTTTCACTCCAAATTCGGTTTGAATTTAGAAATGTGAGAAAAGGGAGAAATGGAGGCCGGAGAGTTTTGGGAAGCAGAGGGTATGCAAGTGATAGTTGCATTCTGGAGTCACAGATTACTGAGTTAGAATCCTCTCCCCTGATTGCGCGTCGCCGGGCAATGGAATTAACCTTATTGAACTTCAGTTGCTTCCTAAGTAAAATGGGATAGTTCATAGTATTTACGTCAGAAAGTCTGTGAATGGGAGCAATACACTAATGCTTGCAAGCTTCAGTAAATGTTTCCCTGAGTAAGGCCCAATACACATCTGGACAAATACGGGAGTAGCTGATGTCATTTCTCCTGCAAGGGCGTTGCTCGGCTGTCCCAGGAGAGTCTAGCCAGGGCATTTGTGGCGAGCTGCCAGCTCGGCTCCCTAGTGTACTCGTCTCTACGCGCCTGTAGTTTGACTCCATGTTGTATGAAAATAAACGCGCGTTGACCAAGGAAAGGAGCCTACGTTGAACGATTCCAGCCTCAGTTTTAAATATCACCTTATGTGTTCAGAGCTCTGCTTCATGCGCCAGGCATCCCCTTCTAGAGTTTGCCGTAATTTCTCTTTCGTTGTCAAGTGCTTTGAAGAGGTGAGTCCTGGGTAGGCTGGATGCCTATAGAAAACGATGGCGTAGTGTTAAAGTGCAGGCTCTGTTCTCTCAGTTTCTACATCTGTAGGATGGAGAGAGTGATAATGTCTCCCTCAGAGCTGTTGAAAAGATTAAATGAGATAATGGGCCTGGGACATGGTAGGTGGTGCTGATGATTACAGGATGGGGATCTAGCCAGCTGGAAGCAGTGGGTAAATGTTGGGGTAGAAATCAAGGAATTAGAGGCGGTTATGCCTGAATTGACCTGAATTTTTTTTTTTTTTTTTTTTTAAGTACAGTAGGTAGTAAATGCCTCTGACAATAACTTAGGAAAAGAAAAAGCAGGGAAACTGTTGGCCAGTATTGCTACTCTCATTTAACATGCTACCCAAAGTTTGAGGGAAATGAATTAAGAATCTAAAATACATTCAATTCAATATGTAATCATTGAAACACATTTTTAAAAAAGAGTAGGAACCTTGATTTAGTGACATCACCCATCACTCATCTCAAGGACTGTGTTGTAACCATAGTATATTTAAAAAGTAGTATTTCATGGGTAAAGAAGAAAGGTCAGAGCTTATGATATTTTCCCCAAATCTTAGACTTTAAGTATTAGGTTCCCCAAAATTCATGACCATCCCCTTTCGTATTAGCGGTGCTGTGTTACTTGGGGGTCAAAAATACAAAAGGAAAAAAGCCATAGATAATATTTTCCTTCCAACAGAAGTCATTGTCATGGACATGGACCCTTTTCTTCACTGCGTGATCCCAAACTTCATCCAAAGCCAAGACTTCTTGGAAGGGCTTCAGAAGGAACTGATGAACTTGGACTTCCATGAGAAGTATAATGATTTATATAAGTTCCAGCAGGTATTTATTCCCCTGCCACATTAACTCTTCCAGCTCAGAAATTCACTGTCTCTGAAATCATTCAATACCTTTTGCCTTGAGGTTTTAGGATGGGTTTGCCTTGAAGGGTCCTTGCATTGACATTGTTAAGAGCATGCCTTCATTTAACCAAGCTTACTGAATGTTAACTATATGTTAAGTGCTGTAATTATTATATGGAAGCCTTAGACAGTGCCTGTCCTGTAAGACTTCAAAATCTAGTGTTTTAAGTGCAGGCTCTGTACTCTCAAAGACTTCTCAGTTTCCTCATCTGCAGCATGGGGAAAGTGATAATGTCTTCCCCAGGTACACAGATTTCTATGGGTCTCATGGCCTTGCCTCCTCTTGGATGTCTAGTAAGTGTCTGACTCTTGAGTCCAAAACTAAACTCCTGGTCTTCTCTAAATTTGCTCCACCTGCAGTTTCCCCATCACAGTTAATAGCAACTTGATCTTTCCAGTTGCTCAGGCCAGAAGTGATAATAGGGGTGAAGGTGATGGTGATAGAGATAGTGAAGAAACAAATTAAGCCGATGAGTGAATATGTATAAACAAAGGGATTAAGTACATGTGGGTAAGTGGTATGATGATGAAGAGAGTTGTACGTTGGGAGACAATTGCCATTTAAGATTTTGAGTTCGGGCTGGGTGCAGTGGTGCATGCCTGTAATCCCAGAACTTTTGAGAGGCCAAGGCGGGTAGATCACCTGAGGTCAGGAGTTCGAGACCAGGCTGGCCAACATGGTGAAACCCTGTCTCTACTAAAAATACAAAAATTTTCTGGGTGTGGTGGCACACACCTTTAATCCCAGCTACTTGGGAGGCTGAGGCAGGAGAATTGCTTGAACCCGAGAGGTGGAGGTTGTAGTGAGCCGAGATCACATCATTGCACTCCAGCCTAGGCAACAAGAGCAAAATTCCATCTTGAAATAAAATAAACTTTTGAGTTCATGTTTTTGTTTCAGGTGGCTTGCTATATTACAGTATGGTCTACATTGCAGTAGGGCAAAGAGTTAATATTCTTTTTTTTTTTTTTTTTTTTTTTGGTGGACAGTTTAATTGGGCAGAAAAGACGATCTCTTTTTTGTTTTTTTTTTAAGGTTGGTTTTTCTACCCTGGAAGACACAGCCTAGTCTAGGTATAGAAATACAGGTCATTGGTTTCCCCAGTTTGGGGGTATATCTTTCAGTGCATGGAGGATGTCACTCTTAGAAATCCTTTGTAAACCTCAGGGACATCTGTGCTTCAAGTTGGGAAAAAAAAGAAAAAAAAAGACAAATGAAAAGGTGAAGATTTTTTTTTTTTTTTTTTTTTTTTTTTTTGCATTTTCCCATTTTATTTTATCTGGGATAAGAGAGTAAGTAACGAATTTCTCTCTCTTATTCTTCTATGCTAGAGCTGATTGGTCAGATGGATATATCCTGACCTTCCCCAGATCTTTCTGTCTTTGGGCCTTATACACATGACTGAATTAACCAGGATAAATACATGAAAGATATGACTCTTAATAATTCAGAAAGCTGAAAACTAAACTGCTTTCCATGGTAAGGTTGCACAAAACCACAGTTGCCTGCTATCGTAATTATCACACACTTGGCCTCTTGTTGTTTTAGGGCCATATGCATCTGATTACTAAAATTGAAACATCAAAATAGTTTTTACTTAATGCAATTTGGAAGATTAAAAATACTGGAAGAGGGCCCAGTACAGTGACTCACGCCTGTAATCCCAGCACTTTGGGAGGCCGAGGCAGGTGGATCACCTGAGGTTGGGAGTTCGAGACCAGCCTGACCAACATGAAGAAACCCCATCTCTACTAAAAATACAAAAAATACAGGGTGTGGTGGCACGCACCTGTAATCCCAGCTACTCAGGAGGCTGAGGCAGGAGAATCGCTTGAACCCGGGCGGTGGAGGTTGCAGTGAGCTGAGATCGCGCCACTGCACTCCAGCCTGGGTGACAAAGTGAGACTCCACCTCCAAAAAAAAAAAAAAGAAACAAAAACTGGAAGATAAAAGGCAAAATAATAAAAAGAGCCTTGGGTGATTGAAAAAAAAAGGAGCTGCCATTACTTTGGAAGTTTGGTGAAACTACTATGAATAATTTTTACTGTTAATCTCTGTTAGACAGGAACTCTTCACCCTGACAGTAGATGTAAAACCTGGTTTCATTCTCCTGCCCCTTTAATCCTCATCCATGCCCTTTTCTTTGCTTGTGGTATGAATTGACTTGATAATTGGGTCTCTGACATCTTCCAACTCCCACAACCAACTCTGTCATTAGGAGTTGCCCAATATTCTGTATTTTTTAAAGCAAGCATTATTGAGTGCATAATTTATGCCATGCTAAGTGCTTTATATTTATTCATTAAATCCTCAAAACAATCCCATTACTATACCTGTTTCACAGTTGAGGAAACTACATTAGTTTTTCTTTTTCTCTGGATCATTCCCTTCAACATAACAAAAAGAAAAAAAGCTGTTAGTTCTTATCATAAGAAAAAACAAAGTTCTTGACCTAATTTTCCCTTCTGCTACCACCCAATTGCTGTGCTTCTCTTGACAGCAGAATTTCTTATAAGAGTTGTCTGCACTGTGTCCAATTCCTCTCCTGTCAGTCTCTGGTAAGCCCATTTTAATCAGGCTTTTGCTTGTACTACTGCACTGAAACTACACTTGTCAAGGTCACCCATAACCTCCATGTTACTAAATCCGATAATCAGTTTTCAGTTCTTCCTTGGCTCATCAGCAGCATTTGACCTACTATATCACTGTTCTTCCTGGAGACATTTTTTTCACTTTACTTTCAAGTTACCATGCTCTCTTGGTTTCTCTTCTTCCTCAGTGGCCATTTCTTGTTAGCTTCCTTTGCTAGGTTTTCCTCTTCCACCTGACTTCTTAATGATAGAGTACTCTGCATCCTAATGCTTGGCCTCCTTCCCTAG